GAGGAGGAGGAGGGAGGATGTGCCCACGCGGAGGGCGGAGCAGAGGAGGGCGAGGAGGAGAGCGGCGGCCTCCCCTCCTCCGCCAAGCCCGGGGCGGGCAAGGAGCTCGCTGCGACGTGCCGTAGCGTCTTCCGGCTGCCGAGGGAGCTGAGGCAGGAGCGCCTGGCGGCCCTGCAGGAGACACCGCCGCCCCTCCTCCTCCTCCTCCTCCTCCTCCTCCTCCTCCTCCTCCTTCTCCTCCTCGCCCTCCCCCGTCCTCCATCCCTTCTCCTTATAGATAATTCCCCCCTGTCGCACCCCAGGGCCGGTCGAAAGGGCGGGCCGGGCGTTCCGCCTGAGATTTCTGCCCCCTTTTTGTGATGGAGGGTGGCCCGTTTTCAAACTGTGGTTCTCGCTTCAGCGCCGCGCACATTCGCTTTAACAAGTTGCAAGGGTGTCACGGATTCTCATGGCTAGCGTCCCAGAAATTTCGTTTTGGCGCGATGCCGAAGTGCCAGGGCGCAACAGTCACGTTGATTTGTGGAGTTGAAGTCCCAAGAACGATGTTCTGGCAGGACTCAGGGTCGTCAAGACGCAAGAGTAATCAACGGCGATTCGCGGCATTGATGTCCCAGGAGTAAAAACGGTTGTCTAAAAGGGCATTTCCTTCAGTGAAATTAAACCTCTATAGAGGGAACTTGGAGGGAGGGAGTATCGCAATCTCGTTGATGATTCTTGGGTTTACGCTGCTCCTCCTCATCCTCCCCCTCCTCCGCTTCTCCTCCGCTCCTCCTCGTCCTCCCCCTCTGTTCCTCCTCATCATCCTTCTCATCTTCCTCCTACGCCTCTTTCTCCTCCTCTTCTCATCCTCCTCCTCCTCCTTCTCCTCCCTTCTCCCTGCTCCTCCACCTACTCCTCCTCCTCCTCATCATCATCATCCCTCCTCCTCCTCCTCCTCCTCCGCCTCCTCCTCCTGGTTCCTCCCCCTGCCCCACCTCCTCCTCCTCCCCCCAGGGTCCCCCCCCCTCCTCCCCGTCCTCCCCCCGCCGCCCTTGCCATGAAGGGGAACGGGTCCTCCCCGGATGTTTTCGGTCAACAGGTTCCGTTGGGTTTCACACTTCGGGATGCTTGCCAGCAGCTGCGCCTCTCGCCGAGAGCGTTCAACGTTGGTGCCCGGATCGCCCCGAACGATTGCGGCAGGCCCGAATTATGGCCCGAAGATCGCTCCACTCGCTTTCGAGCATGAATGAAGTCGAGTCCAGGGGAAAAGAGGTGCTGAAACTTGTTCGCTGCTTTCGAGCCTTCTCTTCCTCTCCTTCTCCTCCTGCGCTCTTCCTCCTCCTCCTCCGCTCCACCTCCTCCTCCTCCTTCTCCTCCTCCTGTTCTTCCTCGTGCTCTCTCGAGTGCAAGACTCAGCTGTTCAGCGAAATCACGAACGCAATTTGGCGAGAAACGCTCCTGGCTTCCAAGGGACCCGCGTTTGTGTCGAGCCCCTCCTATGCCTCAAGGGATGGTGTGCCCCCCCAGGCAGGGTGTGCGGTACCGAGTTTGGCGGTGCACGCAGCCTGGTGCTGTGAAGGCTCGGGCTAACGCCCTCGAGGAAATGCCACTGTCACGTCGAAACCCTCGACAGTGATGACAGGCAATTGCATCATGAAGTGAGATGGGATCCTCCTGGAAATTGCCAACCCCACGACGCTGCGGGGGGGCGATGTTTCGTTGGGGTCGATCGACCTGCGAGGGACCGACGTTTTGTGTTGACGGTTCGGCGGCGCGCCACCGTATCCGTTGTCTTCCATGGTTTCTTATTCCTGCATTTCCAGGAACAACAACATTGCTATGTTTCGAGGCGTTCTTGATGTCGTTTCCAGGACCTCCAAAGCTTCCGAACATCGGTCGACGGCCCTCCTCCCCATTTTTCAGGAGAGCGCGGGGGGGGTCCTGGCCCCAGGCTCGGGGACAGCATGGCGGTCATCACAGTGTGAGGTACAGCAGCCGAGCACCAAGCACGTAAACATCGGTCCGCTGGCCTTCGACGTGGAGCGCTTCTCCACGAAAAGCCAGACCATCTGGCGCCCGTTTTTCACGCGCCCGCGCACTGAGCGAAAGGTGCTGCGGATGGGCTACTTGAGGATAAACGACGCATCGGGGCTGGAAATTGGAATGCTGATGTCCCCACACGAGCTCTCATCGACCACCCTCAGCCTCAATATTCCTCTCTCGAAGTGAAGGAGATGCACAGGATATGTGACCTTCTCCGTATGATTGCACGTCTTGCCGGGAAGGTATGAGCAGTCTTACCTCGAGAGAAATTCGAGCGCCCGAGCTCGGGCCCCTGGTCCGAATTTGTTGAAGTCTGGAGGGTGGCATCCTTTTCGGAGGTCTCGGAACAGCGACGCTCCCGATGCCGACGTACGCTGTTTGTATCTCTGGATTGCTGGACGGACCCCTCGACTCGGCCCATGCCCAGGTACGTCACGTTCTGCGCCAGTAGTTTTTACCTTCGGGCACACGCTCGCCCACCACCGTGTGGTCAAATATTCCGAGGTGAAGCTCTCTATGGTTCGCGGAGCATACACTGAACACCAATTTTACCTTCTCGGCAACAAATGCCAGCAACATGAGCTATCAGGTGTTCCCACCATCCCCCCCAGGATTTGCGATGGCTTGTACCCTCATTGTTGTGGCATGTCCACGGTGTCAGCCACCTTTCGGAGGTGAGCAACTGCATTGTATTATGTCTCCACGCTGGCGTCTCCTTCCAAGGTTGCAGAAGGTTCATCGTTGATCTCGCAGCACTATCATATTGCAATGATGACTGCCCTTTGCAGGGGGTTGAGGCGATGGAGGTGGCAGCAAAGGCGGCGGCTGTCTCCTTTTCAGCAGGCACGTGATAGCCTGTCACTGTCACCCATCGGTTCGGCCCCAAGATTCGATCGTTGATGAAACCCTTGCCCCCCCCTCTGTTCATCTTCCGGCTCTTCCGCTCCCCCCCCTCCTCCTCCCGCCTTCTCGCCTCGTCCGAAAATCACGACGGAGGATCTTTTGGGACCAGTGTCCGCCTCCGGGGGCCCTCACCCGGGCCTCTCCGGGCCGTCGAAAACAAAAGCGGCTCGGGGCGAGGGGTTGGTGCTGGGGGAGGCCCTGTCTGGGTCTGAGAGTCGGTAACGTTTCACCGACCACCCCCATCCCCATCCCGAGCCCGACGATCGCGGCACCCCAGTTGGGGATCTACCCCTCGGAGTCCGTAACCGCCTATATCCCCATCCAGGGAGGCAAATTGGCCAGTGGAGCCCGGGCCACGCCCGTGGGGATAGGAATCGGTCAGACGATGCTCAACGAGCCGTTTCCCTCGGGACTCCTGTGCTTCATGGCGACGGCCTCCCCTGGCCCGCGCGCGCGCCGGATGGAGTCGTGGGAGGACGAGAGTGCCGATCTGTTCTGCCTCCTGCTCGTTCTGGTCCACGGCTCCCGTTCGCCCGTTCCACGGGGTGAGTCTCGAGATCAGGTCGTGGCAGCCTCTGGTATAGGCCTCCTGCGTTCTTCAGGTTCAGTGGGCCGACACTCTCCGTATGTTAGGCTTCAGGAAATACGGCTGGGCCGAGGTATAGAATCGAGGACGGCTCGGGGAAGGCACCCTGGTGTTCTTCGTGTTGTCGGATACTCTTGTGCATCCTGGGGGAGGGCACCATCGAATGTTTTCTGTGTTTTGGCCAGCGGGGGGTCTCATGTTCTTGAAGGGTGTTCTTCTGTCCTCGTTCCGACCGTAACGAAAGGGCAAATGGCCCAAATCATCGTTCTCGTCAGTTGGGACCCCCGGTATGCCCTTGTCGCCGCGGCCAGCTTTGCCCCGAGGCCCCTCAGAAGAATGCGCCCTGGGCCCAGCAACGGTCTGGGAAGTGGTTCGACGGGGCTGGGACCAGGACGAGGGTCAATCCGCTTGAGAGCATTCCAGAATGTTCTCAGAGCTTTTCAGAACGCTCTGACAGGGCCACGGCGCCCGAGACATCCTCCAGAGCCGACAGATCTCTCACCCGACGTTCTCCTTGTCCTGGCTTCGCCTTAAGCGCTTCGTTGTGTGGGGCATGGGTCTGCTCCTGTTGCCCCGCGGAGAGCGAGGATCCGAGGGTGGAGGTTGTACATGCGCATTGCTGTGGGAAGCGCTGTTCCAGGGCCAGGGAGGCAGATCGAAGCTCGAAGGTCGAAGATCTGGTTGTGGCCTGGTTGTTTCTCCTGGTCGTTGGGAGGCTTCTCGCAGCCACGACTCGACGACGACGACGTCGACGGGCGGCACCTTTGCGGCGCGAGGCGCCGTCCTGCTGGCGGGGCCACCTGGCGGGGCCGCGCCAGCAGCGAGCGGGCGCGCTCTGAGTGAGCTTCTCGTCCGAGGGCGCTGGTCACGCGGCGTGCGCCGTGCAGGGTGGGCGGACATGCGCCCCAGGGGGCCTTGCCGGGGGGGCTCGCGGGACGGGACACGGCACGGGGCACCGCCCCCGGGGCCGTTGCGCTTCTTGCGGGGAGGTCTGCCAGAGTGGGCCGTGAGGTCCCGCGCGGCGATGGCCCCGCAAGGGGATAGCAAGACACGGCCTGGGACGAGCAGTGAGCGTACTCCCGCGCGGCGAGGCATGGGCCCATGGGTGTCGGGGCGGAAGGGCCCGTGGAGGGCGAAGGCTGCACGCGCTCGGCACACGAGAGCACGCGAGCATCTCTGTCGGCTTGGCTGTCGTTCGGGCAGGGGCCCCCTGGTCGGGCGGGGCTCACGCCGCGCAACAGATCGTGACGTCGGACGTCTGGGGGCGAGGGGCGAGGACGGGGGCAGGGCGAGGACGTCCTGCTCCTCCGCCTGCTCGCCCTCCTCCCCGGTGAAGGTGGCGCGACCGTCGGCAGTCGCGCCTGCAAGCGCGCGTGTGCTCGCAGTGCTGCTGGGCCGCGAAGCTGCGCCCGGAGACGCATACACCATGCCGACTCCCATCCCACTCCGATCCTCCCCCCCATGCCCCCCCCAGGCCTCCTCGGGGGCCCCCCGCCTCGCTACGGCCAAGCGCGGCTCTGAAACTGCGCCAGAAGGGGGCGCCCGGGAGGCATGCGGAGCCAAGTTTTCAGTGGATCTGTTGGTTGGGGAGAGGGCGAGGTGTGGCTGCTGCTTTGTGATGCAGTCCCAGACCTTCCTCGAGATCCGACGCCGCAGAAAAGCAGCATCGCGAGTGGCGGCGAGGAGGAGGCGGAGGAGGAGGAGGAGGAGGAGGAGGAGGAGGAGGACCACCCGCCTGCGCCCCCGGAGGGATTTGTGGAGAGCTGTTCGGCCGGGTGTTACCCAAGGTGCCCCACTGGCCCAAGGTTTGCCCAGGATTTCCATGGAGGCCCTGGCGGCCTTCAGAGTATCCATCGCGAGGCCCAGAGGGTCCTTAGATCCTGGCGTTGAAATTTTTTAACAACGGGCGTTTTCGCTCGATTTCGGGCCCCGGGACCCTCACATATCGATCCGGCTCGACAAATGACGCAGAAAGATAGGCCGTTGGGTCCAGGCTTGCTGTTTTCAGGTGTTCAGTTGTGGTGCAGCGTCGGATCTCAGGGGGGTCCTGGGGGAAACTCCACAGTGGAGCACGAAGCCGGGGGCGCCTCCCCAGCCCCCCGGTGCCGTAGGCTTGCGCGGGCTCCCAGAGGTCTGGCACCCAGAGGTCTGGACACCCAGAGGTCTGGACTTAAGTCGGGCCTGTCCCTCTACAGGGGGAATATTCAAAAATAGTCAAACAATAGTTTGGGGACTGTTTCGTAACTATGTTTGGGCATCTTTTGAGCATGTGTTGAATACTTTGAATGTTTCTGTAGGGGGGGGGACAGGCCCGACCTAATTCTTCTGCAGGGGGACAGGCCCGACCTAATTCTGCACCCCGGAAGCTTGGCGCCGCTTTTCTGGGGGGGGTCACGGCGCGAGGGGAACCTGAACTGGCAGCCGCCGACGCTGGAGGCCTCCAGGCTGCCCGCGCCCTCTCCGGGCGGCGTCGCCCCGCGGGCCCCCCCCCCCCCGACCCGCGTGCCCTTCGTGGGGGGGGGGGGGGGCCGAGGGCCGAAGAGAGGCGGCGTTGGCACCTCCCTTCGGGTTGTGTCGCCCAGGTGTTCTGTCCGGGCACACAAAAAAGAAAACGAAGAGAGGCGGCGTCGGCCCGCCGCCGCCGCCCCTCGCGGCAGGAGTCGTGGGAAGCCGAGGCGGCGCGGGAGCTCTCCAGCTGGGTGCCGACGAAGGACGGCCAGCGGCACCGCCCAGCGGGCACTCGCCTCGAGGGAGGAGGCACGGGGACCACGACCAGGATGTCGCGGGATTTTGCTGATGCCAGTCTTGGTCATGGTCCACGTCGGCCGTCGCCCATTCGCCGGGAGGAGCCGCGAATTGATGCTGACCAAGATCGACGGTGACCAAGATCGGCACGACGTTTCCGCGTTCAGTCTTGGTCATGGCCCCCGTTTCCTCCTCCTCCATCGCTGACGGGTACTTCGGAACCCCGCCGAGAGTTGCCACATCAGAGGAGGCGAGTTAAAACAACGGCAGTTGGCCGTCGGGGGCTGCGGAGGGGCCGTCGCCGCCAGGGCTGGACGAAGCTCGGAGGATGGGTGCGTCTGGACCCCGGGGGTCCGGGGACCGATTTTTGAGCTGCCGTTGGCCCAACTCGCCGACGAAAGGCGGCCAGTGGCATCGTGCAGTTCTAGGGCTTCCAGGTGAGGTCGGAGCAGAACGGGGTGTCGGAGGACCGTGCCGCATCGCCGATGCATCGGGCGATGCGGCTCGATGTGGAGTCCGAAGTTCTCCACGCCGGCGTCGCCGATGCATCGCCGATACATCACTGATGCATCGCCGACCCAGACCTCCTCGCGTTGTGAAAAGAGTGCGACGGGCGATTTTTTCCTATGTTCGGCATCTGGAGGTCCTTCCCGGGCCTCGGGACCGTCAAAAACGACTCAGGATGAAAAGCCTGTCCCCGGGCAGGGGTCCAGACCTTTGGTGGTCGACGTTGTGAGCAAATCAGGACGTTGGAGGTCTGGGTGGGGATGCGGCGCGATCCTCCGACACCATCTGTTCGGACCCCATCTGGGAAGCCTTTGGTAGTGGGTACTCGCTGGCGGGTACTTCGGAACCTGACCGAAATATGCCACCTCAGGGCTTCTGCCTGGCATTGCAACATTGCCCGCATTGGGGAGGGTTGCGTTCGCCAGGTCGCTCCGCAAGGTGCCCGTCTCTGGAGTCCCCGTCAGAGAGGCGCCGAGGTGGGGCGGGGGTTCGCCATGAGGGAAGCGGGCTCTGATGTTTTCCGCCACCTTTTCCACCCCAGGGGATATCCCCGGGCCCCGGGACCGTCAACAAAACTACACTGGTGAAACCACATGTTTCCAGCCACACGTTTAAACAGCAGGCGGCTGGCCATGGGATGCGCTGACGAGCTGGTCCCGTCGGGCGGGCCTAGGACTGTGACTGGGATAGCTCGCTCCAGGAGACCGATCTTTCATCCCATGGCGACGACGGGCGTGACAGGGTGGGGAGGGGTGGGAGGGGACGGGGGGCAGGTCACGTCACGATTCGCAGTTTCACCGTCTAGGAATGCCTAAGAATGGCTGCTTCCTGGACGGCGCCGGCGCGCATCGTGACGTGACCAGGGTGGGGGGGGAGGGGAGGGGAGGGGTCGGGGCTGGTCACGGGCCGTATCGCGAATCATAAAGACATTGGTTCCAGAGCGTTCTGGAGCGCTCTCGGAGCGTTCCAGAGACTGCGCTGGAACGGCTGGCCGCGGCGCCCGGTAATGGAGGTAGACGATTAAAAAGTCCCCCCAGCCCCCCGGGGGGTCGCTCTTCTATTGTGTAGGGCAGACGAATAAAATCTTGAGGGCAAAATTGTTTTTTATTCGTTTTCCCCCCGCCAGATTTTTGTTGGGAGTCGCGTTGGCCGTCGTCATCCCGCCGTCGTCGTCGTTGTCGTCGATCGTCGTCGTCGTCGTCGTCGTCGTCGTTATCATCTGTTGCCGTCGCCCCGTGGGACTGCAAGACGCCGCCGACGCAGCCCCCTCACTAACATGCCATCCGCACAGGGCCGTCGTCGTCGTCGCCGTCGTCGTCGTCGTCGTCGTCGTCGTCGTCGTCGTCGTCCCCCGGGACTGCAAGCCGCCTATGCAGGGCCCCCCCCCTCTACATGCCATCCCGCAAAGGGCCGTCGTCGTCGTCGTCGTCGTCCCCTCGGACTGAAATCCGCCTTCGCAGCCCCCCCGCTCCCCCCGAATTACATGCCATCCGCAGAGGGCCTTCGTCGTCGTTGCCTCGTCCTTCGGGACTGCAGGACGCCCACGCCGCACCCCGCACCCCTTTTCTTGCCATCCGCAATCCGCTTTTGTCGTTTTTGTCCGTCGTCGCCCCAGGATTGCAGGACGCCCACGCAGCCCCCCCCACCGTTGGCATCCTCAGTCCACCGTCGCCTTCGTTGTCGTCAGCTGTCGTCTTCGTTGTCGTCATCGCCCGTCTGTCTTCCTCCCCGCCGGAGTGCAAGGCGCCCGCGCCAAGGGGGAGGGGATGCCTCCGACCAGTCTGCATAGCCAGCCCCGCCGCTCCGATGTGTCAGCCCTCGGGATTCCCCTGGCCCCTAGGACGGCCAGGGGCCCCACCCGAGTTGTCAGCCCTCCGCAGGCCCGGCTCCGCGGCCCGCTTTCATGGTGGCCACAAGGTAGGCGATTTTTTTAATCATTATACAAAGTCGGTTTGAATCGTTTTAAACGATTAAAGCGACTTATATGGTTTTAGATGGCTTAAAACGATTAAAGCGATTTTTGATCGTTTTATAAGATTTTGATCGTTGAATCGTTTATTGATGTTTGTTCTTTTTAACGTTTTTTGATTATTGATTGTTTTTTTGATAGTTTAAAGCGATTCTCGATCGTTTTAAAACGATTGAGCGGTAAATGAATCGTGTTTAATAGTTTACCTCTATTACATCCCCCAGAAGCGTCAGATCTCGCAGGTCCATGGTCTATCCTGATCCGATATTGTCTCAACCAAGTATTGCGAGAACGCCGCCCAGACGAGTTAATAGAGGAGGTCTGCACCGGCTCAATCGACACTGGCATTCGAATAGTGTGCCGGTGCGGTTCCGAGTCGTTTTCATTATGATCGACGTGCGTTCTGCCGAATGCATTCGGTTGTTCCCAACCATCCCATGGTGTTGGGTCCCTGCTTTGAGGAGAGAGCGCCCCGCGTTCACCTTCTTCCCGCTGCCCCCTCCCCCTCTTCCCTCCTTCCGTCCCTGCTTCTGCCATCCGCATGTCTGTGTTTCGGCACGCCCAGCGCAACGCTTCGTGGCCCTTTGGGGAGCTCCACCGGAGGCCCCAGCGGCAGGGTCCACATGGCGACGCCGCCCATTTTTGGCGCACCCTTCACACGGTTCGTAGCCGCACAGGGAGCTCCACCGAAAGCCCCCGTGGCATGGTCCACATGGCGGTGCTGCCCCACGGTGGCGCACCCTTCGCACGGTTCGTGGCCCCATGGGGAGCTCCACCGAAAACCCCAATGGCAGGGTCTGCATGTTGGCGCCGCCCCAGTTTGACGCACCCCTACAGGGTTCGTGGCCCCATAGAGAGACCAGTCGAAAACCCCAGTGGCAGGGTCCACATGGCAGCGCCGCCCCATTTGGGCGCACCTCTCGAGCGGTTTGTGGCCCCGTCGGGAGCTCCACCGAAGGCCCCAGCAGCAGGGTCCACATGGCGGCGCCGCCCATTTTCGCGCACCCGTCACACAGTTTGCGGCTCCGTAGGGACATCCACCGCACGCCTCACGAGCAGGGTCCAGATGGCGACGTGGCACACCCTTCACATGCTTCGTGGCCGTGGCACCATAGGGAATTCAACCGAAAACCCGACTGGCAAAGTCAACATGGCGCCGCCGCCCCATTTTGGCGCACACTTCACACAATATCTGGCCCCGTACGGAGCTTCACCGAAAGCCCCATCGGCAGGGTCCACATGGCGGCGCCGCCCCATTTTTGGCGCTCCCCTCGCACGGTTTGTGGCCCCGTCGGAAGCTCCACCGGAGGCTCCAGTAGCAGGGTCGAAATGGCGGCGCCGCTGCATGTTGGCGCACCCCTCGCACGGTTCGTGGCCCCGCAGGGAGATCAGCCGAAGGCCCCAATGGCAGGGTCTTCATGGCGGCGTTGTATTATGGGGGCGCACGTTTCATGCGGTCCGTGGCCCTGTGGGGAGCTCGAGCAAGGGCCCCAGCGTCAGGGTCCACACTGCGGAAACCGCCCCTTTTGGACGCACCCCTCGTAGGGAACCCCACCGAAGGCCCCAGTGGCGGGTTCCCATGGAGGTGCGGCCCCATTCTGGAGCACCCCTCGCACGGTTCGTGGCCCCAGAGGACGCTCCACCGAAAGCGGCGCTCAACACGGTGCTCACAACTGCATATGGTTGGGTTTTTCGCCAAGACAAAACGCCGATTAGCTTCCTGGCTGGGGTCCACTTAGAATGCGACGCTGGACGCAACTAGGGTGCCCCGCAGCTTTCACTATTGGGCGTTTTGCTGCAGGGTGTTCTGTCAATCTTCGACAGTTCCTGTCCTGGCCTCGCCTTGTCCACGGAAAACGCCCAGGGTGCCAGGGCCCGCTTTCCTGAGGACTCGCTTCCCTTGTGCCAGGGGGGGGGGCGCAGGCTTTCGGGGGCTGCGCGGGTGGAGGCCGCAACGGCGCAGGTGGTGCCAACGCTCCGGAAGCCAGGGCACTGCAAGCTCGGCTTGTGGCGGAAGCGGGGCGAGGCTTTGGAGCTCCGGCGCCCCCCCCGTCCGTGCCACACTCCGCGCGCCTGCGTGGGCTGCACGGTGTACCCGCCGCCAGCTCGGCGCAAGCGGGGCGAAGTGTTGGAGTTCCGGCGCCCCCCCGTCCGTGCCCCACGCCGCGCGCCTGCGTGGGCTGTACGGTGTACTCGCCGCCGTTTTGGGATCGAGAGTGGCCGCTGGTCTTGAGCCGGGCATGTGGGAATATGCAAAGCTAGTCAAACAACAGTCCGGGGACGATGTTTTGACTATGTTTGACTATTTGCGCGCATTGCTTGGCTAGCTTGTACTGTTCTTCCAAAATCCGCCTTTAGGAGGACATGCCCGACCAAACGCGTGTCCCGCCCTCCCGCACCTCTCTGTCGCCTTTTTCGCTGTAGCGCCGCTGCCTCTCCCACTCGTGCTGCTGGCCGCTCAGCCCCACGCAGGGGCTGGGAGAGCGGAGTGAAAGCTTTCGTGGCCTGGCAAATCAGAAAGGAAGAAGTGACGTGGTAGCTAACCAAAAGTTTTTTTGTTCCGTCGGAGGCGTTCAAGAGGGCGAGGAGTGGGGGGGGCAGGGGGCGTCGGGGAGCGAGGGAGCGAAGGGGGGATGGAGTGAACGAGAGTGGCTACGTTTCGGGCTCGGCGTGCAGGGGCTGGCAGTGAGCCCGGACTCCCTCCCATGAACGCTTCCGCTCTCCCTCTCCCGATCGAGCCGACCGCGCCTTCTGCAAGATACCGCATCCTGTACGACACGCGACATGCCAGCCACCGCCCGGCGCAGGGCATCAGAAGCGGCGCTCCGCGGCACTGCCGACCGCAGAGGATGATCTGATTATGACCACGATCATATGAGCCAGGCGACGACGATGACCGCGATCATGGATGACGATGAACATGCAGAGGATGACCGTGGTGGTGAGGATGGCGACGACGATGAGGACGATGGCCCCCTCTTCCCTCCCCGCGCCCGCGGGCGCTGGGCCTCACACTGCCCGCGGCGGCGGCCGCCCTCGACCTCACGGCGCGCGTCCCCGCCGCCCCTCTCCTCGGCCCCCCGGGCCCGGCGCCCCGCTGCCCGCCGCCGCTCGCGGCAGCTCTGAGGGGGGAAGCGCATCCGATGCCGGGCGAGCCTGGATTTAAGTCGGGCATGTCCCTCGACAGGAGAGACATTCGATACTGGTAGAGCAATCGTCTGGTGACGCCTGTTCGTGCTCTTGTGGCTAGTGTTGATTTATTTGCTTTGGCTATGCTTTGCGTTTCTTCCACAATCCGCTTGTAGGAGGACATGCCCGACCTAACCCCGGATGTGCCTCAGCGAGGGCTGCGTGGCCCTGTGGTCCCGCCAGGCGCCAGCATCGTGGAACACCCCCTCGCCTCAGATGGCTCGTTGCTTTCATGGCGTTGTCCTATTGGCACGCATCTTCATCGTTTCGCAGATCGGTTTCCCATGCCAGCAGGTGTACACTTGCAGCCGGGTTCAGAGTCGGCGAGGTGTGGACGCCATTTTGGTTGGGTTTGGAGGCATGCGCGCGGGGGGGGGGCCAGGATTAGCCTGACCAGGAGGCATGCACACAGGCCCTGGGCTGACCTTGCCAAAGTCAGTGCAGATGTAATGTCGGCGTCCCCCGAGTGATGCGCGCTCGTGGTTGCCAGGATCCCAGCAGCGGGCAGCATTACTACTACAACAGCCAGACGCAGGCGCCGAGACAGCGCCTGCGCTCGCCGTCCCCGTCGTAGTTCTCGTCGTCGTCGGCGGCGGCGGCGTCGTCATCATCATCGTCGTCCAACGTTCCCAAATCAGTACAACATATGTGTGGACCACCGCAAACTGTTGAACATGACCGACAGCCAAGCAAGGTCCTTGTAGGAGAGAAACCCACTGGATGAGACCCTATGGGGGCGGGGTCCTACGGATGGGGGCCACGTGGATGGATGGGGGTCATGATGGATGGGGGTACCTTGTGGGAGTGACACGATAGGACTGAGACCTCCCACCGCCCGAAAAGCCCACAACCAGGGTCAGTTCCTTCAGTCGCAAGCAAGAGCCTCAACAGCGCAAACACTGCCTCGGGATGTGTTCAGCGTTCTTCAGGAAGCACTCGAAGCTTTTCCCACCGGCCAGGAAATGGAAGATCCTGTGTATCTCCCGCGATTCTCCTCCTCCCCCCCCGCCTGCAGGACCGTCCGAAAGCATCACAGGGTGTCTGGGAAGCTTCTACGAGTGCCCCCTTAGAGACCCGCTCTGAGCCATCACAGTTGTCGCGTGGCCCTGGGCGCTGTAAGCACGACGCAGCTTCGTGGGCAAGGGCAGGGCAAAAGCAGGGCGCGAGTGCCGCACGCAAAGCACGGCTGCTCCGCACAGGGCAAGAGTGCGACCCGACGGGCAGAAGCGGACCTCTAACGTGCGAGAGCCACCGAAACACTCCGAGAGCCGCCGTGCGGGTCGACGGCCGCCAGTCGCTCCTCCATCTCACGCTGCGGAGCGGCCTTGCTGTGATGACAAGAACGCAGTGCTTGAGGGTGGAGCCTTCGTCTCCGTGCGGTGTCTCACGGGAGGAGGTGTAGGCACTCCAGGAGCCGCCAGCGACGAGCGGGCGATCCCGGCGCTGGCGCCAGTGCGGCCCCGAGGAGTCGTCGTGGCAGGCCCCGAAGGACGCGCTGCTGCCCGCGCACTACATGCGCATGAAGGCGACCGAGCTCGCGAGGTTCCAGGACCGCCAGGGTGAGTGCCAGGTCTGTGGGGCAGGGCAACGCGGGGATGCGACGCCCTGGCTGGGGGAAGCGCAGAGACGCAGCCTGCACACAGGGGAAGTATGTGAGTGTGTTGGGGGGCGCAGGGCGACGATGCCCTCTCGCCTCCTCCGTCTACCCACCCACCAAACCACCCCAACCCAACCCGAAGGCCTCAACTTGCCCTCCATTTCCAGTGGGGGGGTCGGGGAACATTGAAAAACACATACCCGAAATTTGGGTCTTCGGGTTGGGTTGAGGTGGCCTGGTAGGTCGTCACCATCGCGAGCACGAACGCAGATACGCAGGTGGGGCTTGGAGGTCCACCCGCGGGGGGGCCCTGGCCCCCAGACCAGGCGGGGGGGGGGGCCGGGGGCAGAGTCGCCTGATCTTCCCCCCTCCCCCTCCCCCCTGCCTGTCCCTCCCTCCTCCGTCCTCGCTCCTGTGTTCTTGCCCCATCCTGCGATCCTCCTCTGTCCCTCTTCCCTGCATGCTTTTTCTCAAGCCGTTTTGGCTTTTGCCCCGCGCTGGCGCATCCCATTTGCTGGACACATACGTCAGCGGGCAGACAGAGACCTCGACGCCGGCGCAGTGATGTTGGGCCAGCTCGTCCTCAGCGCGAGGGTGCCTGCCCCGCCCGGGCTGAGCTGCGACTGGCACACCCCAGACCCTCCGCCGACGCGGACCGGCGTGGCGGTGCCGAGCCAGCTCGTCCTGCTCGTCGGGGTGCGTTCCCCGCCCGGGCTGAGCTGCGACTGGGGAACCCCAGACACTTCCCCTTCGCGCCGCAGCACCCCGACTCTCCACGGCATGCCGCGCTGCCCTGAGTCCAGCTGGGAGGTGACGGACCTCCCCGACGGCCTCGACGAGGCCGTGCACGACGGCCGATCCGGTCCCTGCCGGCGTGAGCAGGCAGCAGGCACGGCCCGCGCCGACGCCCTCGCGAGCGGCCAGGACGGCTTGGCTGCAGGCCTCGAGCTCGAGCCGCCCGCCGACCATGCGCTGCACGCGGGGGGCAGCACCGCTTTAATGGGACACGACCACCAGGACGCCTGGGGGGCGCCCAAGTGGGGCGCGACCAGCGGCGCCGACGGCGACAGTGCGTCCGCAGCAGACGCGCTCTCCCCCGCTTCCCGTGCGGGGGCGGCTCCCGTCGCGGCATGGGCCCAGCTCCGCGCGCTGCTCCCAGAGGACCGCGCGCGTGCGACAGCGCACACGCCGAGCGCGCCGCTGGCACGGCGGCAGGCCGCGATGGCTGAGGGGCTGCCGCCGTGGAGGTCCTTCTGGCAGCCCGCGGCTGAACCCGCGCCGCCGCCGCCGCCCGCCTCAGCCGCAGCACCGCGTGGCCGGGCATCCGCTCGGGCGGCTGAGACCGCTGTGGCCCTGGCGAGGCTTCGAAAGCCACCAGGCGGCGTCGGCCTCCCGAAGCACTTCGAGGGGGTGCTGAGCGTTGGCTCCGTGGGCCACCCCTACACCTGCCGGGAGCCCTGCAAGTACGTGCGCAAGATCCGTGGGTGCAAGGACGGGGCGGACTGCGACCGCTGCCACGCGGGCGGGTGCACCAGCTTTGCCTGGCGCCGATCGGCATGAGGCAGTGATTGGCCCCGCCCGTCGGCGAACTGGCGGGCCACGCTGTGTGGCGGAGCCACCAGTTCGCCAGGGGAGGAGTGCAGAGGGGTCACCATGAAGGGTGTGTGGGGGGGAGGGCCTGGGCATCGCTCGGACGTGTGCATTCTTCCTTCGGCGAGGACCATCGAGGAGCCTCCTTGATCACGCATTCCTTTGGCGAAAAAACCACGCACGAAACCGACAAAAAAACACAGGGAATGGACGTCCGAGCGATGGCGAGGGGCGGCTCTCGACGCAGCCTGACCCAATAGGTCGAGGAAGTCAACAACAGTATGATTTTGTTATGTTTATCCTCTGGCGCGTAACGATTGTTGTCCGGGCCAAACACCCCACCCACCTCCCCTCGGGTAATTGTGATCGTGCGTAGGGGTGGGGGCCTGGATCCCCCCCACCACATGCTGGTGATCGCGCACACATTTGGGCGATCGCAGCGGTTACCGTTACTCGCGGCCCAAATCCTCCCTCTTGGGTAAAGACCGTTACCAAAAGACAGTAACAGACAATATGCGGGGATTGAGGGCAGCTCTCGAATCAGACTGACCCGAAACATGTAAGAAATTTGCAGAAACAGAAGGTGCCAGCGATGAAATACTACAACCACGAACGTTTACATAGTTGACGAATGTTCTAAGTCAAGGGTCAAGTGTGATTGGCATAATTGTTTCCCAGGCCACAAGTTGACATCACGTCATGCAGGAGCCGCGAAACCAACATTAAACATACTATGTCAGACTTCAAGCGGTGCAGCTTCGGTGCGGTTTCGTTTCAGAATTGTTGCAGTGTCATCAAAGCCGTACATGGCATAGCATCACATCGTGTTGCAGTACCGTTGCAGTCTTGGTGGAACCGCACCAAAGCTGCAGCACCTAGTGTTGCAGCTCCGTTGCAGGTTCATCATACTTGCAATCAAACTGCAGCAACAGATGTTGCAAAGCCGTTGCAGTTGCATTACATCTGCAACGACGTTTCAGCAGGTAGAGTTTCTGTTTCATTTCAGTTTCATTGAAGCTGCATTACTGCAGAAGGTAGTGTTGCAGTGTTGTGGCAATTCTCACCGACATCACAACGACGCTGCAATATGATGTGCTGCAACATGATGTGTTGCAATGATATGATGGCTACTCATCCTACCTTATCCTCCTACTCCTCCTCCCCATCCTCCTCCTCCTCCTCCTCCTTCCCCGTCTCCAGTTACCTTGTCCCGCTCTCCCTCACCCCATCCTCCACTACCTCTCCCAACCTCCCCCTCCCTTTAGACGTTCGCTCACTGGGGAAAGGAACCGTATGTGAAGACATGTGGTTCCAGCCCATGGGCGAAATGGATTTACACGTACACATGTTGACATACGCAGCCGCACAATCACACACGTGCATTGCACAATTGTTCAGCTAAATGACGCGATTACGCAACTACACGATCACGGTAGCACATGCAGACAACCTGCAACGCAACAGCCACTTTCCGGCAACCACCATGCAACAAGACATATTCAGCAACCCAACCGCAGCCATATTAACATCCGCGAGCAACAGCATTGTAACGAGTTTGTTGCCCGCTAACACCAAGTCCGCAACGAAACTACCGCCCGCCAAACACCAGAACTCGCAACGAAGAAGGCCGCCCGCCAGCATCAAAATTGCAGCGACACTCGTGCGCGCCAACAAAGTCGCAGCACGACCATAATAACGCAATGACGCGCCGAAGACTGAAACATCCGAGCCAATTCCGAGACGGGAGAAGTACATGGTCTGGCCGCCCACGGACTTCGTGGGGTCGGCATGTTGTTACGAGAGATGGGTTTTTCATGATTCGCGTATCCACACCAGCCCATTCAAACACCTTACCCATGAGAGGTGACAGGAAAAGTGACAAAGAGACACGTATGGTGAAACAAAGCGGGCAACCAGGGTGAACAGAGAGATTTTTGGGGTGGCCTTGATTTGAGTCCCCCCACCCTTCCTTGGTGCCATCTAAATCGCCTCCTGGGGCTCTCTTGGGACGTTCCTGGGCCGATTTTGAGCGCTCTTGGACCGTTTTGGGCGCTTCTTGGGCACCTCTTGGGGCTCTCTTGGGCCATCTTGGTGCAATCTTGAAGCATCAGCAACGCATCGGAAGCGAAACGGCGAGAATGCAAACATCATCGATTTTCCTGCGGTGTTTTAAAATGTTCGGCCTCTTAGATGGGTACCGTCGGGCCTCTCAGAGCCATGTCGGGAACCTATATTGAGCCATCTCGGCAATCCTGACCCATCTTGGAGCCCATCTTGCAGCATCGGACGCCCTCCCAGAGCCATCTTGGGCCATCTTGGGCGCCCTGACACCTCGCGGCCCGCCCCAAAACACCTCAGGGAGGGAAGGGGGAGGGTACCCCTCCCCGAAGGGAAGAGGGCTTTGGAAGAGGAAAGAAACAAATCGTTAGACCACCTTCGCCCAAAAGGCGGGTGTGAGTTTCATAGAAAGTGTCAGATTCAACGGGCATGACATGTTCATTTGAAAAGCTCAGTTTTACTATCACTAGAAGTCGTCGATTCCCCTACGATCAGGTATTCGGTTGTCAACCCAGATCTACCATAGTGGAGAGCCTGGAGCCTGGAGAGTCAGTGTGGACCCGTTGGTACGTTGGTACACATTTTTGACGCCAATCCGCGTCTGCAGCAGACCTTCCAGTCCAAGCCATGACGCTGCCCTTACAGCCCAAGCCATGAATCTGTCTTACAGTCCAAGCCATGACGCTGCCCTTACAGTCAAAGCAAGTGGTGCCGAGACCGAATTCGTCCGCGGAGTTGTTTTTTCCTTCCGGCTGACCGCCAGCACGGCGGTATTTAATGATTTTGTTGTGGTTGGGGGGTGGAGCGGAGAGCGGAGGGGTGGACGGGTGGGAGGGAGGGGCTGAAGACGGGTTGGGGGAGGAGGGTCGAGGGGTGGGAGGGAGGGTCAGACATTTGAATAAGGAACACATGCATAGGCAGAGCGCTTAACCCCCCTCCCAGCGCGTGGAACGCCCAATAGGTTGGTGGGGATCACGCTCGCTGATTGTGCACAGTCCATTGGCAAGCGAGTACCATATGTGTTCATTGCTTGCTGTTCTGGTGAATAGCACATGAAGTTAGCGAGCGTAAAAATTGAAGGTCGACTGAGGGTTGGCGATGGGCGCCGGGCTTTTCCAGTGCAATGAATGTGAGCGCAGTGATTCGCGCACTTCTTCCCCATACCTTCGACGTCGTGAGTTCGTCAAGATGCGGCCCCAGGTGTTCTGGACCACCACTGAGGACGGTTCTTCGTCGCAGGTTGCCGATCACTCGGCCCAAAACGGCCCAGGGACACCGAAAACGCCCGCCGTTCTGCCTTCGCGACGCAAGACGTCTGGGCTGGCGCACTTCGTCTGGACTGCGCGGCTGCTTCGCTTGCCACCCTTTGGGGCGCGATCGACAGGGCAGGTCTCACATTTTGATCCGATCGATCAGATATCGAGTTCGACCGGTTCGTTCCGATTTGATTTCGATGTTTCAGCAATCCGATGTTGCCCGATGTTTGCGAGACGCAGTTGTGCATTTTGGGTGTGCCACTCACTCCAATTCGATTCCGATTCCGTGCCGATGCAGCCCGATCTGGCGCACGTTCCGATCATATCCCATTTCTTTATCTCGAGCAGTGGCGAAGCGTCCTGGCTCGCTTATAGGTACACCAGAGAATGTTCTAATGTCCTTCTGTGGTCTGCACGAAGTGTTCTTAGAACATTTCTGGCCGAGACTTTCTTGTTGAAACACGTCGGGTAAATGGTCTGAGAACATTGTTTTGTTGTCAGAACATTGTTAGGTTCAAAGAAGATTTCGTGGTAGGCCTATAGGAATGCCGGGACGGTCGGTCCCTGCTCAATTATCCCGTGTTGGCTGGCACTGCTGTGGAGGAGAGGCCGTAATCGGTGCAAGACATGCCAACCGAACGGAGAAGCCCGCGCCCAGGCGTTGATATATAACCCCCCCGTCTCCCGATTTCAATGTTGAACACAGGCGTGCATGCGGGGACGCTCCATGGGCGTTCATTACGTCGACGGTTGCGTTCCTACAGCGGCCGCGCGAGAGCATCATTGGAATGCGGGGGGAGGGGGGCGTCGAGGCAACGACTTTGGATGGGCGTTTTTTGCGCCAACGGCGGGAGAGGGGGGGGAAACCGGCTCATATCGGCCCATCGGCCCATCATCAGGCGATCGCAAACATGGATCGAGGGGGCGCGGGTCAGCGACGGGTCCCGTTCCCGTGGGACATCGCGGGCCTCCGCCGCCGAAGGCGGCGGCACCGGCCGCATTTGGGGGAGGGCACCTCCCCCGATCCGTGGATCTGGCGACCGCGCGCCAAATCCATGGATCGCTAATCCATGTCTGCGCGCCCCCGGCATCAGGGGCCGAGAAGGCCCCCATGACCGCCCCCTCCTCGCCGATGCCTGGGGGCGCGGGTCCCCCCCGCCGCGTCTCCGGGAGCCCGCGGCTCTCGCCCCATGGAGGGGCCACCGGCGACGCGCCCGGCGACGTGCGGGCGATTCCAGCTCGAGGTGCCGCCCCCCCTGATGGGCCCATGCACCACTGCCATAGGTAGGAGAGCGAGGAGGACGAGGAGGAGGGAGGAGGAGGAGGAGGAGGAGGAGGAGAAGGAGGAGGAGGAGGAGGGAGGAGGAGGAGGAGGAGGAGGAGGAGGAGGAGGAGGACCTCATCCGCCCTTTTCCCCCGCGTCCTACATATGGTTGTGGCGGTGGAAGGCTTGCCCATTAATTACCCCCCTCCGCCTCCTCTCGGCGTTGCGCGCCAGGGGGTGGCGCGAGCGGGGGGGTCGTCCCTCTGAGAAGGCGGGGAGCTCTTCCAAGGGCAGGGGGAGCCTTCTTACGGTCT